ATTATTTTGTTTACTTGAGAGATAACCTCCATTGTTTTATTAAATTTATTTTGTATCAGGATTCTGGTCTCATGATCGTGCTATAAATTTGGCAAGTTAACTTAAATTGAGTTTTTTTAATCTATTTTTTTCTAGTTCATCCTATATTTGATTTGTTAGTAATTAATTTTTTTTACTTTTCTCTTAATGATGATATCTTATTCGGATTTGATTTTTTGCTTTGTTATTGAATAAGATTGCTTAGATATTTTAAAAATATTTAGAAAGTATCTTTAAAAAAATATCCGGTTCATCCTATATTCAATTTTTTTTATTAGTCATTGTCATTTTCTTTGGATTTTTTTTCTAATTATATTATTAAATCAACCAAACTTATTAAGTCCATTCGAATCAATGATCCAAGTCTCACATTTGTTTTGTTTCATTAAAAACACTATAATCATTTAGCCGTGTTTTTTTTTATATTAACACAAATTTAAACCGGCTTGTAGCAAAGTGATGACCACCTATCTAGTTATTAAAAGAAGCTAAAACCCCTTCAAAAAACATTATAGCTCCACACACAAAAGAAAAAAAAAACATTATTCACTTGAATAGAATAATGATGATTTTTGATTAGTACTTAAAAGTGCATTTTTATCATGGTTTTATATCATCATTTTGCACTTGAAGTATCAATAACTCCTTAACTAAAATATGTTTTATAATAATGTATCTAATAATATAAGATACCTATAAATTGTGGTAAATGTCTATTTTTAATGCAGGCCTATCACAGAAATGAAAGGATTGATTGATGACTTGAAGAACTTAAATTGCATGGATAAAGAGATGGTCAAACTTAGAGAAGAGATGTCGGTGCAATCCAAACCGGAACACTGTTCGGTAATTGGGCCATATCTGGAGCTACAGATCTCAGATTTAGGTCCAATTTATATGGATGGAAAGGTAAGACATAGGCCTACAACTTTCATATGGAGCCCAAGATCTAAAAAGGCCATTATCAAGTCCAAATTGTAGCAACAACAAAGAAGCCCGAATCTGTCTTCCAGCCCGAGCACTGTTCGGTATTTTGGCCATATCTAGAGTTCTAGAAGTCCAAATGAGCTGAAATTTTTACACAAGAAAGCTGAGACAATTGCCTACAACTTTCATGTTTACAACTGGCTCCAATTTTGACGTTATCAATGACGTTTTGGGCAGACAAGAGAAGATAAGGATTGTCACCAAGTCAAAAGTTGGTCACCCACTTATCAATTAGTCATCAAATCAATAGTTCCCATTTTTGGCCTATAAAAGGAGGCATTTGCCATGCATTTAGGCATCTTGATTTCCAGATCAAGATCATGCTCTTCCTTTCTCTCTTTGTATTTTTTATGCTTTGTTTTCATTAATATTAAGTTTATGCCTTTCATTTCCTTTCCTTTACTTAGTTAACTTTTATGTTCTTATTTTGTTTATCTATTTTGCTTTCTTTCATTATGTCTAGCTAAGTTAATTATGTCAAGGTGAAAAGGTTACACTAATGGTGTAAGAATAAGTATAATGTAAACTTAATATGGACTTTAATGTTTGATACTAACATGTTTTATATTTGCTATCTTGTTCACTCTTTAATACTTTGCTTGTTAAATGACTAATCTTGATTTATGTTACATAACACTTGGTACAACAAATGTTTGGCACTTTCATAGCCCATAATGTATGGTATAACCGACACCTGAGCTATGAAAGGAACTTGATTTGTTGTTAACATAAGTTATAATCATGAATGCTTGACGAGATTTACAAGTATTAGCATTAATTGAATAAGATGACTAATGTAATCATGTTAACAATATAGCTCCACCTAAGAAACTTAACTTCAGCTATTAAGGGCATTGAATAATTTTTACAAAACCCATTAGTTATTACTAAACTAACCAGGGATAAATAAGTATTTTTTTTTAATTTTAATTATATAGTGAAACGATTAAAATACCTTTGGAAGCAAAAAATAATAATAATTAAAACTAGCCTCAATGGGTATTTTTGTTATTTTTGTAATGATTTTTTTTGTCATTATAATGTTAGTTGAGGGGTAATTTGATATTTGATTGAATATAAGAAAATAACAAGCAATTAAAAAGTACAGTGAAACAATTAAAATATCTTTAAAGGAAAAGATTTTAAAAATGGAGTCAAGGGAATTTTTTTATCTTTTCACAATGTTTTTTCATTAATATTAATTTAGTTAAGGGGGAATTTGGTATTTGACTAAAATAAATTACACCCGGGTGTGTGAGAGGTGTACACGCATTTCAAGTAGTGTTTGGAGCACTTTCTTGCATCCAAAATGCCCTTCTATTATGTCATTGGAATTGTCACCATGTTTTTTTTTTCTATGGAGCAACACTTGTTGGCATTAGTTGTTCGGTTTGTTATTGGTGGGCCTTTCTTCGCTTGTTGGCATTAGTTCGGTTTGTTATTGGTGGGCCTTTCTTCCCCCCCTTTCTTTTCTTTTTTCTCCACTGAAAATTACTGCTTGACCTTCTTTGTTATTTGTATTTCAAGTTCAGCGTTTCTTCTTTTAATTTTTAATTTTTCTTCTTAGTTTTTTAATAAAAGTTTTATTTGTTTTTAATTTTCTCATTCAATTCCAATTTACAAATATTATATTTTTCAATTTGATCATTATTCCTTTGAGTTTTAATTTTTTTCTTGACCATTTTGTAAAAGTTTTATTTATTTTTAATCTTATTATTCAATCCAAATTGATGGTATTATATTTTTCAATTTGATCTACATTGTTTTGATTTCTTTTTTTTTTGCTCTTTTAGAAAAAAGTTATTATTCTTTTTAATTTCACCCTTCAACTTTCAATCATAAGTTTTTTTATGTTAATTTTGTTCCTCATTCTTTTTTTTTCTTTTGCTAAATTGAATGTTCCTTTAATTTCACCCCTCAATCAAATATAAAATCTATTTGGTATTTGAATTTTGATCCATATTATTTGAATTGCTATTTTTTAAATCATTTTGTCTAATTAAAATTATTTTTTCTATATCATCCTTTAATATTTTATTGATTGAGAATTGGATTAATAGTTTTTCTAAAAAGGGGTCTCTAGGTGTAATGAAATGGGTCATGGATTTGAAAAATTAACACAATTTTTTTTAAAAGATCTTTATAATTCTCCTTATTTTTTTTATCAGATTATTCTAATTTCATGATCTAGATCACGTATTTAGCAAAATATCCTTGGTTGGCTTGAACCTGATTACCATGGTTACAAGTCTATAATACTAACTCGTGTTAATTAGGACCAATTATTTTTATGTTTTTTTTTTATGTTGTTTCATTCTCTCATACTTAATGGGATGTGATTGGAGATACATTATTTTTTTTATTTTGAAAAAAATTTCAGTTTGGCAGGATATTTTTAGCTGGCTCAACTTGATTAGCAGGGTTATAGGTTTGTCATACTAACTTGGATTAATTAGAATTGATTTTTCATATCTTTTTTACTTTGTTTATTCTTCCGTATTTAATAGGTTGTATATTGAGATACATTATTTATTCCATTTTGAAAATCTTTTTCTCATGATATCCTAATCAATCACTTTTATTTTAAATTTTATTGATCTAATGTCAAGTATTTTTCATCTAATTAAATTAAAATTAACTGATTGAATTTAGTCTGAGCTATGACTCAAATCCGATATATTTTTTTCTTTTTTAAAACATGTTAGTGGCAGGTTAACATTATTTCATAAGCAACCAATCAGTCTCTGTAGAAAAATGGCACGTTGAGGGATGAATTGAGGAGCTCGGTGGTGGCTCTGGTCCCTTCAAAGTTTGCAAAGTGTTTAAAATCTCCCAATACTAGCCGAGAATATAAAGATGCTTTTACGAAATGGCCTCCATAAAGAATTTCAGTTAGATATTACTTGATTCTAACAAGGAATTGGATTTAACTGTTATATCTAATAATTATTCCAAGAGTTCATGGATCAAATTGACAAGATCAAACCTAAAAAGAAATTCACAAATAAACACGAAAGCATTTTTACATGAAGCCTGAAATTACTCTTTTATATTTTTATTATTTTTTTAATTAATTTTGAATTTTAAGTATTAATTTGTTTTCTACGTAGTTTAGAATTTTTAATTTAATTAGCATTTTATTATTTAAAAATTCTAATGCTTGATGTATTCTATTAATTAGGTAAATTTTAAATATAAATTATTTTCTATAAAGAATTTCAAGGTTAATATAGATTGTGATATCTAGTTTGTTTTATGAAGAAAAAAATTATTATTTAAATTGAATAAAAAATACAAGAAAATTTTCCATAGATTTCTTTATAGTTTGATTTGTAAGCTTAGATATGGTAACTTTAGTTTTATCTTTGTGTATAATTTATGGAAGGAGCTTAATTAGTTTTATCATTTTCTATAAATTTTATTAGTTAAGAAGGAGCTTCAAAGACTGTTAAGAAAATGAAATAAAACCTGTGACAGCTAAATACGGAACAAATTGCAAACTCTTCATCTGGGGCAATTTATATATAAGCACATGCACACAAACCATGCACTAAATGCTTCCGAAGCTTGATCAAATAGCTAAGAGGAAGAATTCGCGACCCAAACACAAGTATCAAGCACAAACGTACTACTATTCTTGGTTGCTGATGCATTTCTACCGCAAGTTCAAAACCAGCTGGTGAAAAGTCTCGTATATATTTGTCGTAAATTTTCAAGTTTTTCACAAATTTCTTAATATTACTGCAACTTTGTTTCTCTTTCTTTCGTACAAATTTCATAAGGAGGTCTAATGAGTCAGCCAAACCACAGTACCAAACCAGTTCTATCCCATTCTAGCTAGCTAGCTATACATGCACCTGTTGTGGAAAATACACCAACCAACACTTAATAACTGCTCTGATGTTTGGCTGATAGTGATCCACCCACCTATTAATTTACGTCTGTCTGTATTCGTATCAAAAGCTACTTATATATGTAAAGTATTTCGGAATTTCAGTCATAAAGGTCATCTACTTCTTCTTCTACATCCTGAATACCTCCTTTCAGGATGATGTTTTCACTGATATTGCCTTCCTCCAGCAAAACAATGAGTTTGTCGGGGACGCCTAATTATAGCTCGAATGTTGGCGGAAGAAGGGCCGATTATAGCACAATTGCTAGTGGCTTTCCAGTGAAGGTACACGTCCAAACCCTTCTCAGGAAAACACCTAGCAGTCTACAATCACCCGCAAAAAGCATGAAGCATGAGATGGATATAACTTCCGCACCAGAGAGAAAGCTGGTGAAACAATTGCGTGCTTCAAACACGCATTCTGTTGTTGCGGACAGTACTCCTGCAGTCAATGGGAAATATCAGAAACTCACTGACGATTGGGAATCAAAGAAGCTTGATTTGATAACCGGTGGAAGGTTGCTTCAAGATGGCCTTGCTTACAGGCAAAACATTTCGGTTAGATCTTTTGAAATAGGCGGTGACAGAAAAATGTCCGTTGGTGCCATGCTGAATCACTTACAGGTTTTGTTTCTATTTCATTTCCAAACACCTAGCACTAGCATTCCTTCCATTTCCCTAGCATGTGTGAGGTTTTATCTTAGGTAGATTGTTACAAATCCAAGTAGTTTGCCAGTGCCTTCAGACTCGTTTTATTGTTCTTCTGATTACTCTTAGGGTAAATTGTCTTGATTTGCATTTTTTTGGGCAACGGGAGAACGTCTGTATTCGTCTCCCTGTCCCCCCCCCCCCCCCCCCCCCCCCCCTGAATTTGGCCTTTGCGATCGAGTAATTTATAATCCTTAATTTGACTACTAATGTCTCCCCGCATTTATATATTTGTGCAGGATACTGCACTTAACCAATGTAGAATTACAGGGCTAATGGTGGATGGTTTTGGTTCAACACGAGAGATGAGTAGAAATAACCTTATATGGGTAGTTTCAACTCTGCATATAGTAGTGGATCGCTATCCTACCTGGTAAGGCAATACACACACAGACACACAGACACACACACACCTGTTTTCTTATCTTCAAGAGTTTTGGGATTCTGTTTGGATTTAAATGCATGATGCTTTAACATTAACAATCGTACAAAGCCTGAGGTTTCAAAGTAATGATATATTGTGATGCTCCTGTCAATAACAATCCAAGGACTGATGTTGTTGAAGTAGACACCTGGATGTATGCGTCGGGAAAGAATGGTGTGGGCCGTGACTGGATATTTCGTGACAGCAAGACTGGTGAAACTCTGGCTAGCGCAACCAGGTTCTTTTTATATCATTATCCTGTAAATTAATTACCAGCAACTAGTCTTTTCTCCAACAAGTCTGGTGTCTTTCCTGAGATTACATTATCAAGAGGTTTATTGTACATGAATGCAGCGTATACGTGATGATGAATAAGAAAACGAGGAGATTGTCCAAGATTGCCAAGGAAATAAGGGATGAAATCGAGCCTTATTTAATGGATTGTGAGTGTCCCATCATCAATAAGGATAGCAGAAAAATACTGAAACTTGATGTTAGCACAGCAGATCAAAGATGCACAGGTTTATCAGTAAGTCTCTTTAAGTAATTACGAGTTTCCACTCAGAATTAATTTGCTGTTCTTGATCACTAAACAATTTTCGTGGACACAGCCTGGATGGAACGACATGGATATCAATCAGCATGTGAGCAATGTAAAGTATAGTGACTGGATTCTTGAGGTGTGCAACATTTTGTGTAATCGATTGCTCAAAATGTACTACAGAAACTCGAATCATCAAAATAATTTTACAAAATTATGGAAACCAATCTTAAAACGCATCTTCATTAATTCTATGAAACTCGAATTATCAGCCATTTGGAATCATGTTAAAAGTACCAAACTAAAATGCCATCATCAAATCAATGACCAATCTGGCAAATGTGTTGTAGAAAATCTCTTATTTGGAGTGCTGCTTAATTAAAGCATGAAAATTATTCATGCACATCTATATGAGAAATATGGCTTGTCGTTTCCCAGAGCGTTCCCCGTTCATGTATGGAGCGTTACTACCTCAACGCAATGACTCTGGAATACAAGAAGGAGTGTGTCATGGACAGTGTGTTGCAGTCTCTCTCCAAAATGGTTGGTGGAGGCAATAGTGATTCCATCAGCGCGAATAAGGTGATAGAATATGATCACATGCTTCGTCTCGAGAATGGATGCGAGATCCTGAGAGGAAGGACCGTGTGGAAGCTTAAAGACACGAACAGCTGCGTCAATAATTATATATATTGAGGTGCAGATTAATTCCAGATGAAAATACTGCACAGTACGTGCGAATTAATATATATATATATATGCGCAAGCTCCAGTTCAATTGATGCTACTGTAGCTATCCTATGTTACAATACACACACACAAAAGGAAGGTAGCATGGATGTACACTTGCTTGTATCTTGGCTATATATATATAAACTTATTAAATAGCCAAGATACAAGCAAGTGTACATCCATGCTACCTTCCTTGTATATATATATATATATATATATAAGGAAAAAGGAAGAAGGTACTATATGCTTTGCTGTTCTTCAATTATACAGCTGGATAGTTCAAGGTGATCAAGGCCCAAAGGTGTTTTGGGTGGAATTTCACGAGGCTTAAAGCTAGATTTAGCTTCATTCCGCTCTTTGTGTAGAAAATAATGGCAAACTGATTTTTTCATTAGTATTCTTCTCTTCGTAGGAGAAAATATATAGCTAGAGTGCAGTATAGGCAGTGCCCTAAATATACAATGCTTTGAATAAGTAACTATTTTATTACAAGAAAGTATAATAATTTTATACAAAATTTGATATGATTTCTATAATTGATCAGATTCATTTAATTATTGACCATACAAGATTTAATCTGAATAGACAATAATCAAATTATAAAATAATATTTGATTTAGTTCCTATAATTAATTAGATTGCATAATTACAACTCATCATGTCAACACTCCTTTTCAAGTTGAAGCATACCTTTTCAAGTTGAAGCATAGATACTAGTTATGCCCAACTTGGTAATTACTCTTTAAATAGTAAGAATCCTTTTCAAGTTGGAGCATAGATACTAGTTATGCCCAACTTGGTAATTACTCTTTAAATAGTAAGAATATCAACTAACTAACATGTTGATTAGACAAAAAGAAATTGTATGAGTTTTTGATCGAATTTTTCTTGGATGAAGTGTCAAGGAATTTCAACATGCTTCTTGTGGTTATGTTGAACAGGATTATACACAATGGAAATAACTACCTTATTATCACAGTGTAGAGTCATCAGGTCTGTACATTGAATCCCTAATTCTGTCAGGACCCTTTGAATCCATAATAATTTGCATACCCACGAGCCATACCTTAAAATTCTACTTCTGCACTCTATCTGGCCGCAACTTTGTGCTTCTTACTATGCCATGTAACCGAATTCCTGTTAAAAAAAGTGAAGTAACTTGATATAGATTTTCTGGTTGTTTGATCCCCTGTCCAATTAGCATCGGTATATCCCACAATGTTAGAGACCTCATGTTTTGAGAATAACAAACCTTTTCCTAGAGTACCTTTCAAGTATCGCAAAATTCTATTTATTGCATGCAAATGTTTTTCGTTGGGTACATGCATAAATTGACTTACAACACTGATAGCATAGGCACCGAGCTTGTGATTGATGTCCACGAGGGTTGACGCTAGTTTGTAAACAAGCATGCTCGTTTCTGTCAGCAAATCAACCACATATTTGCATTGTGACATAGAAATCCCATGAGTTGATATGAAATTCCTAAGAAGTATCTTAGTTGCCCAAGTCTTAACATTTCGAATACAACAGCTAAATGTTCCTATAACAGTGTCATCTCCTTTGATCATTGTCTGTCAACACCATGTCATCCATGTAAATAATAAGGGATGTTACCTTTTTAGTTTGGTGCTTTATAAATAGAGTATGGTCTGAATTGCTCTATTTATAATTGAATGCTTTCATTGCAGATGAGAACTGCTCAAACTAAGCTCTAAGGAATTGTTTCAGCCTATATAGAGATTTCTTCAACCGACAGACTTTGCTTCTATTTTCAAAATTGCACTACACACCCAGTGGCTAGTCCATATATACCTTTTCCTCTAAGTCCTCATTGAGAAATGCATTTTTAACATCAAACTGTTTCAAAGGCCACTCTTGACTGGTTATTATAGATATAAGAGTACGGATTGTGTCAAGTTTGGCAACAAGTGCAAAAGTTTTTTAATAATTGATTAGTACTTAAAAGTGTAGTTTTATCAAGCTTTTATATCATCATTTTGCACTTCAAGTATTGATAACTCCTTAACTAAAGCATGTTTTATAATAACATATCTAATAACATAAGACGCCTTCAATTTGTGGTAAATATTCATTTTAAATGTAGGCCTATCACATAAATAAAAGGATTGATTGATGAGTTTAAGAACTGAAATTCAAAGGACAAAAAGATGACCAAAGTTAGAAAAGAGATGCTGATGCTTTCCAAACTAGAACACTGTTCGGTAATTGGGTCATATTTGGAACTGTAGACCTCAGATTTAGGTCTACTTTATATGGATAGAAAGTGGAAAGATAAGACATAGGCCTACAACTTTCATGTGGAGCCTAAGATTTAAAAAGGCCATTTTCAAGTCCAAATTATAGCAACAACAAAGAAGTCTGAATATATCCTACAACCCAAATACTGTTTAGTTTTTGGCCCATATCCCAAATACTGTTTAGTTTTTAGCCCATATCTGAAGTTTTAAAAGTTCAAATGCCCTCCATTGTTTTACCTAGAAAGATGAGACAATTTTCTATAACTTTCATGTTTTCAAGTGGTTTCAATTCTGACG